GCTAAATTTGATTTCCATTGATAATTTTTGTGTGATTTTGTTGTCAGCACATTCAACTATGTAATGAACAAAGTATTTCATAGAATATTTCATTCATTCAGATCTAGGATGTCTTATTTTTCTGTTCCCTTTATTTTTTTGAGCAGTGCATATATAGGTTCTCCTCTGCAGAAATAATGAATGATATTTAAACATCCTTTACAAAACTGAGCAAGAACACTCCATAGGAGCCTAAGGAAAAATTCATACATAATATTTCTCAATGCAGATGCAGATGGAATATACTGTAAAACTGCATATTTTCCCCTTTCTTTAACTGTTTTTTCAGGATGAAGAGATTTTTCAACTTGGAAGTTACAAATAGACTGGGACCAGATGAAGTTTAAAAAGTAATAGTCTTTTATTATATAAGACATGATTTTAAGAGATGACACCTTTTGGCTCAGGGTGGTTGTTTTGAAGAGTTTCTGCACAGAAATTTCAGTACATCCCTTCTGGTGTACTTTTCTCAATTTCATTTTAGAGGATAGTTATACTGCATTTTCCCCCAACCTTTATTATTTTTATTTTCCTTGAGTATATTTTTCATGATTGGGAGGGGAAATTTGGGAGAAAAAATGTTGCCCCTAAATTACAGAAATCAATCAATCTATCTATCTATCTATCTATCTATCTATCTATCTATCTATCTATCTATCTATCTATCTATCTATCCATCCATCCATCCATCCTTAAGAGCCGTGGTGGCGTAGTGATTAAAATGCAGTACTGCAGGCTAACTCACTGGTCACTCCAGGAGTTCAATTCTGAAAAGCTCAAGGTTGACACAACCCTCCATCCTTCCAACAATTTGGGTAAAATGAGGACCCAGATTGTTGGGAGCAATATGCTGATTCTGTAAACTGCTTAGAGAGGGCTATAAAGCACTGTCAAGTGATATATAAGCCTAAATGCTCTCTCTCTCTCTCTCTCTCTCTCTGTGTGTGTGTGTGTGTGTGTGTACTTGTCTGTGTCTGTGTCCCCCCCCCCAAGGTCATGTGATCACCTTTTAAGATCAGTGCAGAAGCTAGATTCACTTAACAACAAAGTTACTAACTTATCAACTGCAGTGATTTGCTTAACAACTCAAGCAAGACAGGTTGTAAAATGGGGTAAAACTCACTTAACAAATGTCTCACTTAATAGAAATTTTGGATTCAATTGTGGCCGGAAATCGAGGATTACCTGTATATATTACCTGTTAGGGAAAACTCAAACTTTATTCAGAGGATCTCTCTCCATAGCCATTAACTGTCTTTTCTGATAAAATTATTATTCAGCTATGCTTTCTACAAATTAAGGCAAAGTACTCCAAAATATTCAACACTTAGGACTTCAGGTGAGGATTTATGGCAAAGTAGATGTCCCTGAAGGAGTGGTATGGAATGGCAATAAAGGTGGTGGCGGCCAGACGGTAATTTGTGGCTAGCACAATCTTTTTCAGATAAAGGACAGATTATGTGATTGTGACTTGTAAGCAGACTGCAGAATTCAAGATTATTGTGGTTGACTTGTGAGTCAAGCAGCTGGGAGTCAAGGGAATTCAATGAAGCTCACAGCCACAATGTACCCTACAAGGACTCAAGGTTCCCAGAGTCTCGTTGCTTAATCATTTTTGGAAACTACTTAACCACTTCTCAGCTATTAAAAGCCTTCAGCTCAACAAGCTTTATACCGCCAAATCTTAGAGAAAGAAATTTTAAACACAAATTTAAGGACATTTTTAAAGAGGTTTTTTTTTTTAAATAAACAGCAAAAAAATTAGAACATTGATTTTGGAAAATTACAAATGGACTAAGGGTCCAGATTAATTTGAAATAAGATTCTGAAGTTAATTTGTAAGAATCCTTCCAATGAGAAAATGCTATTTTTTACTCTAAAAGAAAAATAGGTAGGACTTTGAAGGTTGCACACACTAAAAGGAATCAGAATTAAAGATTACAATTAAAGAAGGAATGATGAGGCTTTAAAGATTCATTTACAGATAAAGAGATGAGATATGGAAAGAAGAGGTCATCTGTTGTATATCAAGAGAAGGTGATTTTACTAACATTGTTTTATTCTTGTTGAGATGAAGAGAGAAGTCATTTCTTTACATATTTCTTTTTCTTGTCTTTCCTTTTCCTTTTTTCCTGTATTTTTTATTGTTCTTTTTAGTTTCGTATTAGTTTTTACTTTTTTTTAATTGTAATGAAACAATAATTTTATTAAACAAAATTTACCAATTATTTTTTATAATTTACATGATTGATAGAATTCTTGGGATTTTTTATTTGTATCCTTAAGCTATAAAAACCTAATATTAAGGCAAATACAAAATAACTCTATCATCAAGAATAAACAATCATTCCTACTTGTAAAATTTTCTACATAATCTACCATAATACCAAAATGATGCACATAGATCAAAACTGATCAGAGAAAATTGGATTGCACCTAGAAGTATCATTCTACAACAGAATAGATTTTTCTTTTCCTCTCTATCCCTGGTGCACAAGTTCAGTTCCAAAGGACTGGAAGATTCATTATAGACTATCTGAAGGATATCTCAATAAATGAAAAATAAAAGGAAGTGCCAACACACAGTACTTGATGTAGGCTAGTCATTTTATGAATAGAATTGCTTCCACTGAATTCAGTAAAATTGGTTTCAAGTATACATACTAAAAAAAATGGTTTTAGTTTTATTGATGTGTGAATACAGTATACATTTGGAAATCATTTATTATTTTTCAGAGAATCACAACTTCCAAAATAAAAGTAACTCATGTTGTAGTTTGGACTGAGTAAGAATTAGCAGCATTGTAAGCTATGAACTATTATCTTGTACAACATATAACTTTGTCTTTATTTTTAATTTCATAAAAGAATGGATTAAGCACTACAAAATTGTAATAGTATTTCCCAAAATGACCCCTGCATTCAAATTGAAGACAGGACAGCATTAGCCATTAGGAAAGCACTTACAAATAAATATAATCAGAAGAAAAACTAATTAAAAATATGGTGACAAGAGGAAAACGTAATTTCAATTGTGGAAATCTGTAGAAATGCATTCCTTAGAAGAGTTGCTCAATACAGATCTAATGTGGATGAGCCCACCTTCTACTGACCAGAAGCACAAATATTCTCTATTTTTGTTGAAAAGGAGTTGAAGCAGGCAGTAAATTTATATAATAAAGCAATTATGTCAGATATGAACACTTTAACGTTATCTTGTTGTAGGAGAATATTTGTAACAACTGAGTGAAAATAGTGGTCCCACATACAAAATGGATTTCAATCTCTGGAAGACAACTTAAATGAAAGCAACCTGTGATCTGAAACCGTCTACTAATAGTTGTTTTAGATACCTTTCCCTGGCATCGTTTTGATAAGCCATATACTATCAGATCATCTGAATGCCTCATACCAGTAGTATGGCTGAAACATCCTAAGAGACCACGCATACAAGAACATCAATACCCCTGACGCAGTCCTTGGATGGTGTCAAAATAAAAAGGAAAAATAATTTGATAGCACAAGGAAGACTTAAGCTGGTGTCTCTTATAGCCAGGAGATGAGATGACAGTAACGTAATGGGGATTCAGAACAAAAAACAACTGTGGGCATGTTTGTATTATGGTTAGATACAAGTAGAGACAAAAAGTGTGTTACTCTTATCCAAAACATATATTATCATTTACTGATTTTGGCCTAGCTTCTACAATAGTTGCTCACAGTTCTATGATATGTTTTTATACACAAAGAACAACCCTGAAGAATACCCATATTAATGGAGATGAACCAAAGCAGCCTTCCACACAAAAAATCTATTTAAGACATAAGGACTGGAATTTAGAATCTTTTCATGTGGTCAAAGAATGACAGAATCTGTTACCCACCCTGGTGCCTTATTGAAAAAGGCAAGCTTGGAGACAAAATTAATTTCAGTATATAAAAATTCAGCAACAAGTGCACCGTCAAATAATCTACATGAGGGGAACCTTCTTTGCTACAAACAGAAATAAGAATCCCTGAACTCTGTAAAATGCTGCAGAGACATTGAGAAACTGGGTAAGTTCAAGCAAGGGTTGCAAATCAAGAGATGGGTCCAAAACCTTTGAAAGAAACGATATGCAGCTTAGGAGGAGAAAGAAGGGACGCAGAGAGAAAGGGGTTCCCACAGTTCCCACCTCCCACCATTCCCACAGCTATCAGGTGATGCTCAAACAGATCTCACCCTCAAGGCTCTCTCCAAGCCACCACATAACTCTCCATCCTGCCACCTGCCAGGCTGGATTCTTTTCGCCTAACTCCAAGCTCTTCTTATTCGTCTTCGCTGCCTCGACACCCCCGCCTTTCAAAAGCCCTAAATTTTTTTACTCCCATCTCCTCAACCCCGTTTGTTGCCAGATTCCTCTCTCCGCGCGACCCTGAGGTATATACGTAAAACCACACGCTCTCCCCCTTCTCTCGGGAGCTGCACGATTCCCCTTCCGGGCTAACCCGGGCACCGAGAAGAGAGACGAACGCCGTTTGGATGCGACCGGGGGTACCCCTACGGCACCCATCCAAAAGCGATCCAGGCAAAAAGCGAGGATGGAGCCCCGGGGCCCAGCTCGGCGGCGCTTCCTCTCACCTGGTCCAGGTTCTCCTCGCTGCCGCTGTCCTCGGTGTCTGAGTCAATGAGGACCCGGCCTTTCCGCTTCTTCACCATGGCGGAGCTGGCGCCGCCGCTCCCGTCCCCTCCTCACAGCGGGCCCCGCGGACGGTGTGCGGCACTTCGAGCGGCAGGCCTTTGCCAAAGCCAGGCAGCCGCTCGCCCGCCCGCCCGCCAGTCAGCCAACCCGGGACACAAAGGGCACCGAGCATGCGCCATGCGACGCGTCGGATGTAGGCGTGGCCGGGCGCAGAAAGCGCTACTGACCGTTAGGCCCTCAGTCGGCGGGGAGGGGGGGGCGGAGTGGAGTTAGGGGGCGTTCAATTGGGGGCCAGGCCCGTCCCAAAGGAGCCGTCGTCGGAGGCAGAGGCCAATGTTGGGGTGGTTCCCTTAGATGGGTGTATGTAGTTCTTTTTTGTAACCAGTGAAAGCTTAGGACCCATATTACAGGCGGTACAAAAGCTTGGCCAGGCCCGTCGTTGTAGGAGAGGGCCCGGTGGGATTTGGGAAGCCCCTTGTAATCCTGTTGCCGTTTACGTCAGTTATCTTCGACCAGGCTTAAAAAAAAAAAAGCTCAGTAGACGAAACATTACTCTTTCTCCACCTAAGCATTAAAAGCTACAGGTTTTCCAGTCGGAGGAGAAAACGTCCGTGTTCTGCAGTGCCTGATTGACGCGACGTAAAGAAAACGGAACCTTCGTTATAGGCTGTCGTTCCTTTGAAGAGTCCGGACGACTTTCCGCGTTGGACTCGCCGGCGGAGAACTCGGGCCAAAAGACGCGACGAATGCAAGGTGAGCGAAGGGGATGGCATTTGCAAAGGTTAATTCCCCGTTGGACTACAGTACTCATCACCCCCATGTGGCATTGGTAGAACGTACCCACATATCTTACCCAGGCAATATTGGGAATGAGAATTAAGTGAAACTATTGGTTGCAAGTTAGGGATGAACTTACTACTTTAAGGAAGCAGAAAGCCAAGACGAAGGAGAAGGATAGAAACGGAGCGAACTGAGTGCATTGCCCCACTCGGTGGGGTTGACTGGTTTACAGCTAGCTATCTGGTTTTTCCTATTTAATAATGTTCCTTAAGAATGAATAAATGTTGAAAAAAATATTTTTCAGAGTTTCTGAGAGAAAAGAAACTTCTCAGGATGTGTCTCTCAGTACCCATGGAAAATCTTTTGAATCAGAGGCCCTAATTCTGGAATAAAGGTTTATAAAAAACACATCAAGACTCAGTCAATCTTAGGTGATGCCTGAGAAAGCCAAGCAGAATTTGACCTGGTTAATAGTTGGATGGGGGACCAGCAGAAAATCCCAGGGTTGCAGGCTAGGCTGCAAAACCAAATGTATGGAAAGAAGGTAGTAGCAAACTTGCATGTGGTAGCCCTGACCATATAATCGCCAAAACTGATCTTGACTCAATAAAGTCTTTACCTAGCAAACAGAAGTTTCATGAATGCTTATTAAATAACTAGTATTTTCCAGATTGTGTTCTCATTGCTGAGTTTATGTATGCAGTTCTGTTAAAATACAAATAGAAATAATGCTCTCATTACATATTTATTTTCTTTCATTTCCTTTTGCAGTAGATATCCCAAATGAAAAGGCTGACTGTTTTTTATTGTAAGAATATTGTGTATGTTTAGCTTAATCTGTTGACTGTTTTTTCTTTTCTTCACACACACACACACACACACATTTTGTTTTATTTCTGTTTTATGATAAAACAAAAATATTTTTAAAAAGAATATGTTGTGTCTATTTTGTTTATGCAGCTCTTATGTTTTTGAAAGTGTTACTTAAAGTAATACAGTTAACAAGATATATACATCTTGGTTGAAATTAAAATCTTGGTTTTAAAAACATTTTTATTTGTATTATAACAGGTAAAGATAAACTGCATTAATCAGAAATAGATACCAGTATCTTTGTTTGGATAAGGGAAGCGGTTCATCGATATTCATTTATGGCTTCATTTCTCAAGTTGCTGGATTTTCTGTCTTTGATAAACAAACACTATTGCCAAAGTAACTTGTGTAGGACTCTTTCAAATGGTCACCGTTCAAGGTGGTACAGTAGCTATCAGAGACCCGGAACATCTATTGAGAAAATTTCACCACGGAAGACAATTGATAACTTTAAGAAAGTAGCGGAAGACCTCAAAACACAATGTGGGCTTGTAAAGAAAGAGGTAGTTGATTTTGTGAAAGGATTTGACCAAAGCCAAGTACAAGATTATATATTTAATCAGACAAAAGTAATATGGGAATTTCGTAGTGAAGAAGATATAAATAAATGGATACTTGGTTCTGATGCAGCGATTGGAGGGAAAAGTGAAATTTGTATAAAACTAGATAAGAATAAACAGTATGCTACTGTGTCTGGGAACCTCAATACTGCTGTACCTCGTGATGGAGTGACAAAGTATAGTGGATATTGTGCTATGGTATCAAAACCAGAAATGGTGAGTACAATCATATTCACATTTAAGAGTGGTTTATTCTTTAAAACAAAAATGGCTTCCATTTCAAAAACTTCAAAATTCTCTTCTAAAAAAATACTATTCCCATTGTAATACTATTTTTCAAAGTGGAGAATAATAGTTATGCCTCATTCTTAAATATATTGGACTGTACCCTACAACTGTTAACTCTTACTCCTGTTGGGGTGGCATTCAACAGCAGTCAAGAGATAATCTATTTATAACCTGCAGGGCTCTGAAATGATCAGAATGGGATTTGGGGCATTACAGTGATTTTAGGAGAGAAGAGAGGATAGAAAAGGAAAAATATAAGTATGCTTAACTCAATGGGCTTTTAATCACTAACTTGGAATTAAAGTAAACATCTATGTGGATTGTGGTATTATGCTTTACAGACTTGTAAAGTGGTTCCTTGACTCGCAAATAAGCAATTACAAATTGCTCCCACTCAGAATATGCTCAAATAACTCCCTTGTTTAATAACACGAACTACTTTTAACAATCTCTGATTTAGCTGGAGAAAATGCCACATTCTAAAGTGTCCTTGTGTTTGCTAACGCAGTGAAATACCTTGTGAAATAATATTTAAAATAAAAATTCCCGTTATAAATGCTATAACATGCTTTTGGTTAGATCTATATTATATCAGGCTAAGATTCTCATAATGACTAAATCATAATCGCATTAAATTAGATTTTATTTTTGCTCCACAGGCATTTAAAATGCCATTGTTGATTTATTGTAATGTAGCTTGTTAGTTTTGGCTTTATTTGAGTTGTGAACCCATTCAAACTAACTATTGTTTTTATCATTTGGTATGAACCTAGCCAATTACGTTAAGTTTTGTTGTTAGTCACGAAGTCATGTCTGGCCCATCGCAGGCCCACGGACAACATTCCTCCAGGCTTTCCTGTCCTCTACCGTCCCCCGGAGTCCATTTAAGCTCACACTGACTGCTTCAGTTACTCCATCCAGCCACCTCATTCTCTGCCGTCCTCTTCTTCTATTGCCCTCAATTGTTTCCAGCATTAGGCTCTTCTCCAGTGAGTCCGTCCTTTTCATTAGATGGCCAAAGTATTTGAGGTTCATCTTCAGGATCTGGCCTTCTAAAGAGCAGTCAGGGTTGATCTCCTCTAGGATTGACCGGTTTGATCACCTTGCAGTCCAGGGGACTCACAGGAGTCTTTTCCAGCACCACAGTTCAAAGGCCTCAATTCTTTGGCATTCAGCCTTCCTTATGGTCCAACTTTCATAGCCATACATTGCAACTGGGAAAACCATAGCCTTGACTTTTGTTGGCATGGTGCTGTTTCTGCTTTTTAGTATGCTGCTTTCCTCCCCAGGAGCAAGGGTCTTTTAAATTTCTTGACTGTAGTCCCCATCTGCGGTGATCTTGGAGCCCAGGAAAATAAAATCTGTCACTATGTCCATTTCTTCTCCATCTATTTGCCAGGTATTGAGAGACCGGATGCCTTCACCCGCATCAAGAGGCTCTTTAGGTCATCTTCACTTTCTGCCGTTAGAGTGGTATAATCTGTATATCTGAAGTTGTTGATATTTCTCCTGGAAATCTTAATTCCAACGTGACTCATCTAGCCCCACCTTTCTCATGATGTGCTCCGCATTTAAGTTAAATAGGCAGGATGACATTATACAGCCTTGCCGAACTTCTTTCTCAATTTTGAACCAATCAGTGGTTCCATGTCCAGTTCTCACTATTGCTTTTGATCAGCATATAGGTTTCTCAAAAGACAAATAAGATGGTCTGTAATTTGTTATGATCCACACAATCAAAGGCTTTAGCATAGCCAATGAAGCAGAAGTAGATGTTTTTCTTACATTAATTAGGTGTTATTGAATGATGTGGTTTAAAATAAAGTGCAGTCAGCCATTATGTTAAGAATTTAAATCTCAAAGTTTAAAAAATGTTAAGTTATAATTTTTCACAAGATACAGATTTCTTTTTTAAAAAATTGCCAAACCTGTTCTTTTTGTAATATAGTTTTGCTGTTCAATCTTGTCAATGGTTGCTCAGAAATAAAACAGCTACATTTAATGGAGTCTAATCTTAAATAAATTAGCTGATGCCAGTATGTAGCTGACTTGAATGATCTTGAAACACTGAAGAGGAGGAGGAGTCAGCAGAGACTGCTAGGAATCCCAACATTGGATAAAATCAAGTTTAAAAAAAATTCTTGTAAGAAGGCCAGAGCAGTTCATTCCCCATTGTTGCTAAGAAAAAACTTACAAATATGCCCAAATAGTCACCAGGATTCAGGTTTGTCTTGAGAGAAATTTTGCCTTTAATCTTAGGAACAGTTTATTGAGCAGATACACATGTGAACTTTGTTCCTTCTCAGTAAGAAAAAAATATTTTTGAAAGTTTTTTTCCAAATGTTTTTTTTTAAAGTCCACTTCATAGCCATTTTGTCTATCCTTCAACTGCATTGGGGGTATGCAGATTATTTGTTTTCTTTTTCAGTGATAGTGATTAATAAGCAAATTGATGAGGTTTGTAAAATTAGACAGTCAGTTACTATTTATTGTGAAGTAGTACAGTGTAACATGTCAAAAGTTGCTGTGTGTTGTTTTGGGAGCAGATGTCTCTAGAATTTTTCTGTCTGATGCACTAATGTTGCATTCTGTTACCCTCAAGTGTCACCTATAAGCACAGGCATATTGGTCTAAGTGTGTGTGGAAATTAGCACTGTAACCACAATTTTACTCGCCTGGAAATTTAGATATATATCTTGTCTATGAATAATTGAAAAGTTTTCTCAACTAGGGTAGGGTAGATACAGATTGTGTTAGTGCAATCGGGTTTGTGTATGTGTGTGTGGTTGTGTTCAGTTGCTTATTATATGATAAATATCTGATGAGGAGGTATTAATGTTTATGACAGAAACCACTTGTCATGACAGTTATGTGAAAAGGATAGAGCAGATTAATAGGGGGGAAAAAACACTGGGGAACAGAATATTAAGAAAGACACATATATAGGAGAAGAAAAATTTGCCAAGTGTAATAATTGGTGAAATACTAAAAATAATACTATATATTTTGGCAGCTTGCTTTTCAGCGCACAAAGTTCCATGACTGGTCAAATTTTAATAGTCTATATCTGCGTGTCCGTGGTGATGGTAGACCGTGGATGTTAAACATCAATCCAAACAAATACGACCCTACTTCAGTGAAGGATTCTTATAACTACTTCATATTCCCCCGAGGGGGGCCATATTGGGAGGAAATTGAGGTAACAATTATGAGTTTTTTGATACTATTATAGAAAATACAGATTCTGATATTATAAAAAATGGGCAAGCAAGAATCTCTGATTTTAAATTTTTGAAACATGAAAAAAGGATAATTTTCTTATGTGATTTTTTTTCCCTTGAATTTTTTGTAAGACTTTGAGAATGGCCACTTACCCATGGAGTTCTACTATTCTAGTTGCTATAGTACTTTTGGATTGAAATTAATATTTTTTAATAAAAACTAGCATATAATTGCCTATTTAACTGTAGTCAATTGAGACAATTTACTATGCAAAAAAGTACTGAAAAGGTTGTATGTAAGAAAGTAAGATTGGTTATATCAGGAGAAACTTAAAAAATGGGTGAAATGCTATAGAGACTGGTTACTTAAGAAATGTGTGTGGTAAAACAGTCAGGAAAATAAAGGATGTTAATGTATATTGAATAGAAATGTCAGTGTTCATAACAAGATATATAGTATATTGTGGTTTTGTCAAAAAAAACAAAAACAATGTATGAAAGAAAAATGTATTAAAAGAAATATTCAAATACTCTCATTTTTCAGCTGATATGTAAATTCTTTATAACAGGTACCATTTTCTAAGTTCTTTTTTACAAGCCACGGGAGAATCCAGGATGGCCAGTATGAAATGTGGGTAGATAGGGTAAGTGGTTTTTAAACTTGCTATTTGAAATCACATCTAAGATCTGTGATCAAAGTTCCTAATTATTTTATTCACTGAATTTGATTTATATCCAGCCTCTTTGCTTAGTAGGGATCAAGGTAGCTAACTAATTAGACTAAAGTAACTAGAATGAAAAAGCAGTGTTAAAAACTAAGTAAAATAATATATATGAATTATTATACTCACTATTATCAATTCCAGAAGATTATCCACTTGGGAAAGAAATGTGTGTTTATACATTTCCTGAATACTTTCAGGAGTGTTTATTACACCCAATATTTTGTTGTCAAGAAATGTAATAAGCATTTCCTCCTCATCCACCTCATTACAGAAAACACTGAAGAGTACATCATCCAGGAATAATCCATGTGGCACTCCATTTGATACCTCTCTCCAGTTTGATAAGGAGCCAGTATTTCATTAGACTTCTCAAGTTAGCTGTGCACAAATTACACCATTCAGACCATATTTAACTAGCTTGTTAATCAATGTCATGAGGATTTTTATCATATATTTTGCTAAAGCTAAGATATGTCTGTAGCATTCCCAATTAATTAAGACAGTTTCTCAAAGAACAAAATGTTAGACCAGGTTGGTTTTTGACAACTTCATCTAACTTAGTAAGTACTGAAATGCTTACAAATGAAATTCTTTATCACTTTTTCTGGAATATTCCCAGGTATGTCAGACTGTTTGAACTACAGATCTTCAGAACTACAATTCAAATGCTAGATCTTCTCTTGTACTATTTTGTGAGGGACATTTGCAACCTCACTACCCTAATATAAAATTAAACTGGCTCCAAATATTGAAATACTTCTAAAGTGAAAAGATATTCCAATTGTCATTTTTCTGACAATCTCAGGTTTCGTTCTGACTATTCATACCTGATGTAACATAGGGAGAGAAAAAGAATCAAATTCTTCATTGTGTTTTCCTCCTTGAATCTCAACTCTAATCACTGTTACTTTCTATCTAAGAAACTAAAACATTAAATGCAAGAATGATCGTTGGATTCTTGGTGTTCTCTGAACTTTGTGGTTTTCCTGAATATATTCCATTATTAACCTAGGCTAAAATCAGTGTGATATAAAAACAAGATCAGCAAACATCGGGAATCCAACCCTGAACTAAATAATAATCTCTACTGTAACAATTCTGCTATCAGGATTCCAACAAATCCACCCCCATTCAAATCATTAAGTGTCTAGCCGCATCTCAGAGAAGAGAAAATTGATTTATTAGAAGTGGACATGTTGGTATTGGCTGGATGCAGCCGATACTAATATACATTTTCCCTCCATTCATTTCCCCCTTGACCCTGGTCTTCCCCCCATCCCTTGGATGTGTATTCTTCAATGGGACACATCCGTCTCCAAGTCATCAATCATGCTCTCCAATAATTTTCTTGCACTCTGGATGATGATCTAGGCACTTAAGGAATGCACTGTTTTCCCCCACTCCCTTTTTCTGGCAGCTAAAAAGACCAGAGGAGTATTTTTTAGTTGACATCTGACAGATCTTCTATGCAATAAATAAAGTGTAATTGTTGAAAGGCAACAAGACTTAGAAGTATGTATCATATAATCCATTCTAGTCAGCTAGGTTTAATGGTTAGTGTTGTACTAAGAGTGGAAAATCTGAGTTCTAGTCCTCGTTTAGGTACAAAAACCAGTTGGTTTACCTTGGATCAGGCATTCTCTCTCATTCCCAGGTTGAAAGCAATAGCAAACTTCCAAAAATACTACTACTAGTACAGGGATTTTGTTCTGTGTACACCAGGACAAAGGAGAGAGAGAAAGAAAATATGCATTATATACATATTTAGTCTTAACTTGAATTCAGTGATATTTATTCTACTAAGCGTGGTCTGGATTGCAGTCCAGATTTGGATAGGCTTTCTTTCAGACACTGCTCTAATTTACCTATAAATTGTTTTATCTTAAATCCATTTTCACAAAGTTTAAGATTTTTTTAATAATTAAAGCAATATACATGTTAAAGTGACCCAAGTTTATTCAAATCTTTGTTGAGGTTTCTTTTAACAGTTAAGGTAAAAAAGGAATTTTAAATAGTTCTTTGAGCTTGCATCAAACCAGGTTTTATAAATGCATTTATGTATAACATGAAGTATTTATCTGATAATTAAACAAAATTAAGGCTTGAAGCCAAGGGTATATTTAATAAGTAGCAATGCTTTATGCTTACAAAAAACAGCCTTGCTGAATTCTTTAGATTCCCCGGGTCACATGTGCCTATACTATGCATTATTTCAGAGAAGTTTTCAATTTTGAAGATGCATAGATTTTTGATGGGGGAAAAGACTGCTGAATCTGGGTACTAAAGGACGAAGAAGAGGTTTGGAACATTTTAGAGTTCTCTGGAAATTCTGTTCTTGAATTAAATAAAGTTTTGAATGTCGCTAATCAAGAACTATGTAGTTGAGGTTTCATCTTGTTTATGAATAAATAATTGTAAAAACATCAATTTAGGCTTAATAACAGGATAAATACTGTATGACTTTAGGCAATATTTTTGTAAGAATAATTCAGTGTTCTTGTTGTTTTACAGATCAGCACATTGGGACTTACTCTGGCTGATAAAGTAGATGGTCCATTCCAACTGGATATAGATTTCATAGGATTGTTCAGTGACAGATCACACACACAAGCATTTCCCTATGAACTCTATGAAAGAAATTCCAAGAAATAGAACAAGTGGAGGAATGTTGTTCCTTTCAGTTTAGAATATTTCTGCAATTGCATGCCATTCAATACTAATCCAGAGTTGGACTTATCAGTGAATACAAGCTACATAAGCAATTAGTTATGGAAAAACAACACAAATCAACCTAGTAAAATGTCTATGATAGTGTCATCTAGCACACAGCTATTTAGCCATCTGGATTTAAACAGTGGTGGGAAATAAAACTAATGTGCACATGCTCCTCAGCCTCCAATTAATAAAAAATGTGTATAAGAAACAGAACTAAGTTTATCCTACTTTTAACATGTAGTTTTCTACCGTTGGTTAGGTTACCTTGACCAAAAGAAAAGTACTGAATTCCTTTTAGCTGAAGGAGAAATAAATGTATTTTATGAATATCAAAATGTTGTACATAATAAATAAATTGCCATCAAGTTGTTTTTGATGTCTTGCAACTAGATATTCTCCATCTATCCCTAACCTATTTTAGATCGTCCAAAATTGTATCCATTGCCACTGTAAGCCCATCCACCTTGCTTTTCATCATTTTCCTATCTTTCACTTTTCCAGCATTAGAGCCTTTTCCAGAAAGCTAGGTGTTCAGATATTGTTTGAAGTAGGATAATTTAAGCTTCATTTGTGACTCTGGTAAGAACTCTGGCCAATTCATTTTGTGATCCATTGAGAGGAGGGGGAGGGAGGGGAGATGGCTATCCACATTCTTGAATCTAATGTTTAAAAGTGTGACTTCGTGTAATCACATCATTTAGCAATGGCAATTCCAAGAGTTCTCATTGCCATTGGTAACCAAATCCAATTGGTGCTTGGACAAGGACTCAACTTGATCCAACCCATTCTCAACATGGTTCCCTCTCCCAGCCCCAAGCTTCAGCAAAGAAAGGGACGGCCTCATTTTCAATTCCCCACACCCACCTATAGCTGCCCTGCACAGTAGCACTCCGCAGTGACGGCAGAAATAAAGGCCTGGGGGCTTTCAGTTTCGGCCTATTGCCTCTCTGGTTCAGCCTGTGTCACTGGACCCAAAGATTGCAACCTCAAACCCTACACTGTGGCCAGCCACTGTAGTGCCGCAGTGCAAAGTCCCAGCAATCCTGTAGGCCCTGCCATAGCCAGGTGACTTCCAATGTTTCACTACAGAAGCATACCCAGCCTTATTTAAGGCAGTTGCTTTCCACACCAGGCCTTTCCAAGGGTGGTTGTGCCATTCTCCAATTATGTGTTGTATTTAGGTTTCAGATTTCTGAAACTTTGTGCTACTGCGCCTATGGTCTCCAAATTGTACATGCTGTTTTCACAATGCTGTGAACTTTCACAAAGCATATAAGGCCTTCAAACATGCTGTTCTCCAAATTGGTCATGTCAGTCTTAAGATTATTTCTGAAGTTATAACTACAGCCAACAGGTTGGTTGCCCTTAGAGCTCAAATACCAAAATGATTTATTCCTGGTGAATTAACATTTAAATAATACAAACTTCTGTGTGATAACTGAAGATATTTTTGTAACAGACAGAAAGGTGAGAAAAGATTTCCACATTTGGGGAAAAAAAGCCTATAAATGCAAAAGGCAATTCTTTTCATCTTTAGTTGATGTAAAGTATTTTCTAAATGTAGAGTTTAATATGAGCAGGAACTTTGATTTAGATAATGCCACTGAAGAAACGGTATAAGCAACCAATTAAAAGATTAACAACTGCTTGATAGAACTCTCTAAAATTTCACCTTAACTTCTGTTGCATAAGTGATTTCCACTCCTTTCCTAATTTGGTCCAAATACAAAAGACTAGAAAAAGCACAATTGTATAAACTATGTAATCCATTATCACAAGCATCAGTAATGTGGATAAATTACTGTAGGAAAAATATTATTTTATAATTATGCTATAAGAACTTAATGAAATTTAATCTACAGTGGTGTTTCAATAAATAAATGAACAGGGATAATGTTTTTGGCTAATTTGTTTATCGTTTGAAATGGTATTGAAAACATATCACATATTAAGTGATATTTATACAGAAACAATAAAAATACAAATGGGTTCACATTTTAATCCTTGCTGTATAAGGAAAAAAGTTGGGGATAACTATGTATCTTTTGAAATCAGTTTAGAAACCTTTTTTACCAGTTTAGGAGCTGGTTTAGTAGCTAAGATCTATTTTGAGTAAGAAATACCAATATTTTATCTAAATATACACTGTATTCCAATTGGGGAAAATAGAATAAAAGTTAAGCTTTTATTTCTATCATAGACTTAGTTGCAGTAGCTTTTCTTTTTGACATGCTAATTAACCTCCTTTAAAAAGAAAAATCTGGTCATCAGAGTTGACTGACAAAAGTTGACAACGTATGACGAAGCTGTATAGTAAAATTAAAATGAACTTTTATCTATAAACACAATTATTTTAATTAGTACATTAAGACAATTTTATAAAAAAAATCTCATTAAATGAATTTAAAATTTGCTCTTATGTCCAGAAGATTGAATTGTTTGATACAATCAACTTCGATCCAGTTGTTGAGAAATGTCTCCAGACAATTTAGGATATAGTTAAGGCACTAAGCAGATTTGAGAGAAGAAAAAATAGCTGCCCTTTTGAAAAAAAATGTCTAAACCTTCTAAGACAATAGCATTAGCTATTAATTATATAGCTATAACTGAATATAATAGTACCAAGGTTCTATGTTCATATTAAAATAAGATTACTCAGTCTAGATAGCTTAAGTACTTCAGTGCAGAGATGAGAATTATTTACAAGATAAAGATTTTCAATAGTAAGATTATTTACAGAACAATTTGAAAGTCAGCATTAAGCAACAGTCAACCGCCTCAGTGTGCTAAGCTTTTGGTCTTTTCTTTGTTTTCTTCCTTGTATGTGTTTCTCCCGTCTCTCTTCTCTGTTAAACAAAAGAATGACAAAATAATGTTAGCATTAATGCACAAGTAACTAAAATGAAGGCAAACTTAATTCAACTATTCAAAACTTCATACAGTAAGTTTTCTAGCTACTTGGCAGAAATCCTTGCCTTTGTGTGATCTAATGTTTGGCACATGGCCATCAAACTACTTTTAAGGAATATACTACACAGAACTGCATTTGATCAAATTTCTAGGACTCTAAAAAGAAAAAGGTATAAACTTCAAAATTATCCAAGTGTTAATTTAATGAGGGCAGAGGATGACATAATAATGACAGCACTTGACAGGACTTTAAGAACTGACATTATATACTTGCCTGGTTTGAAGAGGTGGCTCTTTGTAGTATTTCTTGTGGGAATATAGTTTCTGGTGATTCTTGCTAGGGTCGCCCCATGGCTTCAGTTTTCCTATTTTGATGTAAGGAAAATGTGTTACTTGTCTCCTATTCTCATCTGCTGCATCAAGTAGCAAATATTTCCCGTGTTTCTTTTGTGAGAAGATTTTGCCTATGTGAGGCAAGTTAATACATAGCCAAGAAACAAGATACTTTATTAGCAATAGACCAGCCAAAAATATACTTGTGTGAGATAAGAACTCAAAAAGCAAGGAATGTAGCTTGTTTTAACTTAGTTTTCATTAATATGTCAAATTACATGATAGATTAAGTTGAGATTAATGATATACATTAATATGTATAAATTACCTTTGGAAAAAAATCAAGGCAAGTTGCAGGCAGTATGTGACTATTCTCAATTTGTTTGCAACTGCTGATATTTTCATGCTCTTTTACACTGAGTTATTTTTAAAACTATGGCTACCTTTGTGTGGTTGATAAGTAAGTGGTCTTGATAGACTTGCTTGTAAATCGAATACTGGTTTCTTGGTGCTTGTGGGTTCCACAGTCTGATTTATAAACTTGAAAGGAGTGACAGCTATAGGGAGAAAACCAATGTATTGATAAGCAATAAGCAATAAGACCAAATTTATTACTCATTTAACTTTCGAGTTTAAACTGGGAAATAACACTACAAGAAGTCTTTTTATACCCCTGGTGACAACTAGTATAGTATAAAATTACACACCGGAATCAAAAGGAACATCATCTTGACAGTAAAGATTCTGCATCAATGTCCTCCACAACAATCACATGTAAATGAACTGCATGTTATTAATCATGGTTCTTTGGAAAAGTTACCAGAATTTGTTGAAGTTTCTGTTGTCTGACACTTCGTTGCTTCTCCTTTAAAGTCTTTGCTAGTTATACATTCACTGCTTTTCTGATTATCCGGAGTGCAGTTTTTCAGAAACGAAGATTTCCTAGATGGAGTCTTGATAAGGGAACGCTTCTCTTCATTGTCTTTTGTAGATTCAGAGAACCTAATAAAAACATAGATTTATAGTATTTAATGGCTCATAATTTTATATACACTTTTTCCAAATAACTAAGAGCATATAAAATATTGAAACATTTGAATATCCTAACAGAAAAAACATTGGAATTAACTCAGAATTCTCTGTTTTTAAAACTTTTTGTAGATTCTACATATAATTATTCTCTCATTTTATTTTTACATCATTTTTTACACTGAGAAAATACAAAAAAAATTGACTGTCCAAACAATTTAAAGTATTTTTGTTTATGAAAATATATAAATTTGTATTCTATGACCTCAAATTTGGTAATTCACACATTTCCACATGCAAGCTACTATACTATATAATTACTATATAATGCCAAATATAGTCTTACCTGACATTCATTTTAGTTGTAGAAAGGCTGGTTGAACCGAAAAATGATTTTTGAGACAAAATACTTTTATTTGCAGTGCCAGGGGAATTGCGTATTGAACGTCGCAGTTTTATTGATGTGCCTCTGGCAGAAAGCCAATTCTTTTGAGAAGGGGGACTTAATAAAAGTCCTCTGGGACTGGAACGGACCTGCTAAGATGAGGAACATTTCCACATTTTAGCATATGGTTTAGTTGAAAGTTAGTTTAAAGGGAATTCTTAACAGAAATTTTATCCTTACCTTTGAATTGGTATTTAGATTTTCTTTCTGAGAAGTCTTCGGAGTCTTCTTAGTCAGGATCTGCAATTAGAGACCTAGGATTTTTTTTCCTCTTATCAATTGCTCATAATAAAATACCAGGATGCTTTTAAAAACCAATGCTAGGCATGGAGATAAATTGTCAAACAGAGTCAAAATCTTTTTTAAAAATAGTACTGCTTTTCTTCTTTGCTCCAGCTCCTCTATCACCACAACAAACATTGGAAACTTAAATCAGGAACTTATATTTGTTTTAAGTCATGGGTTTCTTGTGATGTTCAGCCTGAGCTCAATATAGTCGTTGGAAAGGTTCCTGAATTTTGAGAGACTTTTGAGTAGTACATGAAGAGCAACAAAAGAGCAACATGGCCCATAAGCCAGAATCTGACCCAAAATTTCTGTAAACTTAAAAGAAAATCTAAAGTTACTTTATAGTCAGCCCAAAACACAGCTT